TGTGATAAGACTGAAGGAGATAGGAGGAGCTAGAGACACTGGGTTTGGCGGTATAAACTTTTATTATACTGAAGAGAGGCAACAGGCTATGGTGACCTACTGTCTGGGTTTGCCCAGGAATGCAGGGTTTTCCCAGGTTGTGGGCCAGTTGATGCTAAACTCAAGATAGTCCTGGATACCATATGATCCAGCAATCCCACTCCTAGGGATATATTTGAAGGAATGCGACTCAGGTTATTCCATAGGTACCTGCACACCCATGTTTATTGCAGCGCTATTCACAAAGCCAAGTTATGGAAACAGCCAAGATGCCCCATTACCAACAAATGGATTAAGAAAATGTGGTATTTATACACAATGGAATTTTATTCAGCCACAAAGAAGAACGAAATTTTGTCATTCACAAGTAAATGGATGGAACTGGAGAACATCATCTTAAGCAAAGTCAGCCAGGCTCAGAAGGCCAAAAATCACATGTTCTCCCTCATATGCGGTCTGTAGACCTAAAACAAATGCAGTAATATTATCGGACACGGGTCAAACACTAAGGGGAGAACACGCATGGAAGGAATAGGAAAAGGGAAGGAAATCAAAAACTTGAATGTGGTTGATGTGCTCACTGTGTAGAAGGGAATATAGTAATCTAAAACTGGCAGAGGCCACTTTGGGAAGGGGATCAGGAAGTAGTGAAGAGGTCTGGCAGAGATGAACCAAAGTGGGTTTCAATACACAAGTGCATGGAAACAATGCTAGGAATCTCTCTGCATAGCTATCTTTATCTCAAACTAGCAAAAACGCTGTCCTTATTATCTCTTAGTTTTCTCGTCAATAAAATTGGAGAACGAGAGAGTGGAACAGGTTCTGCCCGGAAGTGGGGGGTGGGGGAGAAGGTGACCCAAACACTGTATACACATGTGAGTAAATGTAAAAATGATACAAATAAAAAATAATAAGATAGTCCTGGATAAACTGGCAGGATGGGTCACCCTGAGGAGCTGTGGGAAAAGATCCCCCTTTCCTAAGCCAGGCACATGGCTAGGTCCAGAACAGAGGCTTGTGTCTCTGCTATCTGCTGGTGGGTTCTGTTGGCCCCAAATTTTCCTTGCTGTTCTACCTCATTCATGGAGGAAGACTGCAGGGTGGACTCCTCATGACCAGCCAAGACCTGTCAGGGGAAATGGGAAGAAGGAAAGTGTTTGTCACCTTTGCAATAGGGAGGAAATTCCTTTAGCTGTCTTTGGAAAAATGGGACCAATGAGTCCTGGGGCATCAGGCGATGACCTGGGAAGCACCCGAGTAAACTGCCAGATGAAGGGGCTCCACCTATCCTTGAATACTTTGCCTGGGCACAAATGCTGGGAAGAATTGGGGGTAGGTGATATCTTTAAAAATCTTTTGTCTGGTACCTGCTCCTCCTAGTGACCCAGAGGGCAGCATGGAGGGACAAGCAGCCTTGTGGTGGTTGTGAAGCCATAAGAAAGCTGGTTTCTTTAGATCTGTCCAGGGAAGGACTCCACTTAAATGGTGTCCAAACCGGAAGTGCTGGAGCAGACATCTCAAGAAGTCAACGAGATAAATTGAGTATAACTTAATCTGACAAGACAGATTCCATGGGGACCGCTAGGGAGACCTCCCTAGGGAGGCCACATCACCAGTTCCACGCAGCACACTCCTGTACGCTTAGAGATCCAGATGTGGCTTTTGGGAAGAACATTGTTTCCTAGTATCAAGTGCCACAGCCAACGGTTCCCTAAAAGGGAGAAAGTTCTGAAGAAAAGTCCAGGCTGAGAAAAGGGAGGCACATTCACGGGGGCTTCTTTCTTCTGTTTGGTTCCTCAGCTTGGTCTATTTCAGCACCAACTACAGGTGAAAATCCTCCACAGATCTTCCCAGAGTGTTCCACCCCAGAGAACTTCCAGGCTGGTGTCTGTCTGCTCCATCTCTCCTTTTCCCAGTCTTGGAGTATGTGAAAAAACCCAGCTGTACGCCTCAAGAGTAGGAAGCCACCCTCTCCCTACTTCCCTATGAGCTGCCTAAAGGTGAAAGGATTGAAGACACAGTTAAAGAACCAGCAACAACTTTGGGTTCCAGTGAGTTTACTAGGAAGAAGAGTCCTGAGAGTGGGGCAAACCCAGAGTTCACTTTGTTGTGTCTGTAAATGGGATAGACCCAGGATGCAGAGGGAGGGTACGGAAGCAGGCAAAGGTGAGCTCTCCTTTGAGTAGCCATGAAGTAGCAAGAAGGTCCTAAGTGCATAGCCAGAGAGGCAGAGGAGAGAAAAATCACAGAAAGACTGGGGGAACTCTTTCTGACAGTTACTGCACCAATATTTAGCATTTACAGTGTTGCCGGTTCTATTGTGGTTGAACCCAGCACCTCCCAAAAGAAATACAGGAAAGAGACTGACAAATGTCCCGAGGAATGGTAGGGATGCCTCCCTCCTTTTTTTTTTTTTCTTTTTTCCAGCAACACTTCTAGGAAAAGCAGGATCCACAGAAAATGTTGCAAGGAGACAGAGTCTGCACTCCCCAGCATCCTTGAGACTCCATAAGCATAGACAAGGAGCAGAAGAGAAAACTGCTCCTCTCTGAACATAGAAGACACTGTCTTGGGAAATCTCAGGAGGCTCCAAAGTTCTGCCCAGGCAGGTGGGATGCTGAGTCCCTGGGGAGGAGGGCTCAGGTTTCCTGATTTATTCAACAATAGGCCCTTGGAGCTCCCTTTGCAATTACCACCTCCCCATTCAGCTTCATGCCTGGCTGGTCACTAATCATTTATTGCAAAGAAGTTTCATTGCTCCAATAAGACAATCAGTTTCTCTACCTCTGAATTCCCTACAGGGTTAAGCACAGCTGGGCACCAGCTGTCCTCATTAATTCCTTTCTAGACCTGAATCTTCCACCCTTCCTTGCCAACACTTCTACTCCTGCATTCCAGCGACTGGCCCAGAAGAACCTGGTCAGGAGACCTGGACCAGGCCACTCACTTCTCTTGCTTCCTAAGAGCTGACCTTGCAGATAGTAACAAAAGGAAAGTGAGAGGTTGAGAGCCTATAGATCTGACAGCCTGGCAAAAGCCACTGGAAGCTTCTATAGATAAGCAGGAAATAGCTATTAGCAAATTCTCTAATTAGAATACTCTTTACAGTTCTCCTGTGGAAGACAGGAGAAGTCTAAGGTTTGTATGGTTTAAGTCAGCTCCTACATCGCAAGGAGAATTAGAAGTCCCTAAAAATATCTCGTGAGAAAGGTCTCTGGCACAATCCTTTTAATTTCCTGGTTTTGGTTACCTGTACCAGGTGGGCACAGCAGTACCTTGTTGCAGGCAGGTGACTAGGCCAGGTGATCTGATAAAACACCTTCCAATTCTGCATTTCTGTACAATATTGGACCATTTCACTTATCCATGCGCAAGACAGGAACATGAGTTTGAGGCAGAGACACACAGTTCACACCGCGGCGCTTACTAGCTGGGGAAGCCCTGCCATCTGTCTGAGCTAATTATCTTGTCTATAAAATGAGGACAACAGCAATAACATCTTCCCCACATAGATGTCATGAGATCCCATACGCGGAGCAGGTTACAGACGCAAAGTACTATTTACATGTTACTGATTCTTGAAAGGTCATGATGGCTACAATAGTAACAGTAAACCACTTCCCTCTAAATAAACGTTTTCAGTTTTCATCAGAAACACAAAAAGATGGTAGTTGATGGATTGGCTGTTAAGTTCTACCTGCCCCACCACTGCCTCCTGAAAGAGCCAAGTAGTAAATGCTGATCTCTGGCTGGCCCCTGGAGGTATTTTGACAGTGACCTGAACCTTGCCCACTTTGCTTCTGCAACCTCTTTGACAGCTGACTCCCGGCAACCTCTTCTCCATGTAATAAAACCAACAGTAAATGGAGGCCCTTGTGTTTTAGTGCACTTCATGTAGAGGGAACAAACCTCCAGGAAAGAATCACTTGCACAACCCCTCAACAGAATATACTGATAAACTCACAAAGTTCAGTTATTGCTAAACGCTAATTGCATTTCCTTAGATAAGCACCATAAAAAAATTCATGGCAGCTTTTGGAAACAAAATTCATTGCATTTTAATTGCTAGAGAGGAGAGAGTAGGGGAGAGGCTTCACCAGGAAAATGCTAACTGGGCATAAACTCAGAAGGAATCTCCTCAAGCCAAAAGGCTCAGTTATGTAACAGGAACTAAGAAGGAGAGCTGGGCCTTTTGGGGAGACCAAACCTTCCCTAGAGACAGCTGACTTCAGTGGTCCTCATACTCAAAGCCTCAGAGACCCTGGACTGTTTGGATTTTCAACTGCACATCATGACAAGTAGGTTTAACAAATTTAAAGAATTGACTTTAAATTGACTTTGGAGTCAATGAGCAGGAGTCAGTACCAAAGCTTCAAGAAATGTATATGGGAGGAAAGTTGCATTTCACTCTTGTAACGCATGTGTGAGAGAGAAGGAAAACTGGACCGAGATCATAACATCACTTCAATTTAATAACAAAACTTTTTCAACCAGTTCACAGAAGAGTCATTTTAAAACCAGTACCATATCCTAACTCCAATCTCCTCGTTTTACAGTGTCCAATCAAGGCAGAGTCCACTAAAGCCAGGTGAGAACAGGGAGTGAGTGAGACCAGCTGGGGAGTGGTGAAGTGTCCTGATTCCCATAACCTTAACTTGGGCTGGCCCAGATTTGACCTCATCTTTCCAGAAGCCTCTGAGCTAGAAGATCCTTTAGAGGGACACTCAGCCTACCAGAGGGCCCAGGGAGAAGCAGGACTAAGGCCCCCTGAGAATCCTCCCAAAAGATGCACTATGGGCTGAGGAGGGCAGAAGTGCAGGCTCCCAGATGTTTCCATTCCAAGGGCCTCTTCAGTCTCTCCCCTCTACACCCTCAGCCCCCAGCTACTTCACCATTCCCAACCCAGATCCTGTCGTGACGCCTGTCTGATGAGGAAGGAGGACTAGAAATCAGGGCTTCAGGTGGAAGGCCCAGTGGCCCAGCTGCTGGCCTGTGGGTGATGACCCCTTTCATGCAGTGGTAGGAGATCCACACCTTCTGCACTGGTGGAGGTTGCTTCTTCTTCTGCAGCTAGTGGGCCCAGGAGACACGAGGCTGCTATGTAGCAAGGTTGTCGAAAACACCAGGACTTAGAAGATGGAGTCCTGAACCAAAAGAGACAGAGGCTGGACTCACAGCATGGCTCCACCACAGCCATTTAAGTGACTTTTATGTTCGTAAATCACTTAGCCATTTAAAATCTTGATTTCCATTTCTATCAAATGGAGCTGCTCTAGGTGTTTTTGTAAGATTTGAAGATGAATGCATATATCTCCTGTAAACTCTAAAGTGGATTATCTACCATCTGTTCCTGTGTCCAACCTCAGAGAAAGATGCTTTTCATTATCACTGCCTGGCTCTGTAAAATACTTGACACAAACACTGTGCTTTGATACACATTATCTTACTCGGTGCTTCCATTGAACAGATGAAGCACAGTGTCAGGCAAGAATTTAATTAGATGCAGAACCCAAACTGCTAAATGCCGAGCTCTCTGTAGAAGAGAGAATGTAGTCATTAGTAACTGCATTAGGACCAGGGATGAATGATGTTGGTGATAAATAAATACGTCAATAATACTATGCATAACATACCCCAAACCTAGCACTATGTCAGGCCCTGAAGAGGTCTTCTCTCCTTAAATCATCATGTAGCATATAATGTAGCCAGGATGGTTAGGACTAAGAAATTCAGGTTTACCAAGGGTAGAAATTTGCCAAAGACCACCCAGGAAATGGCAGATCTAGGCTATAAAGTCAGGTCTACTCTTACCCAGATATCCACTTGACCCAAGAAATCCACTTGATTCAAGGTCTTCCTCTTCCCACTTTCCACTCTCAGGCTCAAAATATTCCAAGGGTAGATCCTTTAGAAACTTCCCAACCCATTCCCTGCCCTCACACTCACCTGCACAGTGTCATGGATCCAGTCCTTGAATTCTGCTACCTTGGCGTAGACTCCTGGGTGATTGGGCTCCGCACAGCCACGACCCCAGCTGACCACCCCCACCAGGTGCCATGTGTCTCCATCCGGGCACACCAAGGGGCCTCCACTATCCCCCTGAAGAATCCAGGCATGAAGACACAGAGAAACAGCCGTATCAGACCTTTCTGGTGGAGAAGCACCAGAACACCTTAGAGAGTGGACTCTCTTTCCAGGACCCTCCTAAATCTTGCTGGGATGCCTGATGGCCTCACCCCACCCCCATAGCCCTCAGCATGAACTCTCCACCAAGAGAAGCTGTCTTATGCCACCTACACATGCAGGTCAGGGAGCCAATTCCACCACACCTCCCTCCGCCACCAGCCACACCTGGCATGCATCGGCCTTCCCATCCAGGTAGCCAGCACACAGCATGCGGGGCGTAAGGGCCCCACTGTACATGCATGAACTGTTGCAGAGCTGTGTACTTAGCAGGGGCACCACTGTGTCCTGTAGCGTGTCCGAGCTGTGGGCTGTGGGAGACATGGAGAAAGGTCTCAGGGAATGAAGTGAGACCAGGAAATCAGAGTAACAAGAGGGGAAGAGTTAGAGGTCCCAGAGGCACAAAGACCCAAATAGGGGAGCCTGGGTCAGGTGGCAGTCTGCCAGATATTGGACTGGGAGTGAGGAGACCAAACGCTGAGGCCCCTGGCCATGGGACTAAGGAAAGAGAAGTGAAAGGACCTGGGCTTAGGGAAAATATTCAATAGCTGTTCTCCCCAGACTGGGTCCCTCAGGACTGGCAAGTGATGCCAGGGGGGAAGAGGGCTAGGGCTGCCTTGGGACCCGGGGAAATGAAGGAGCCTCGCCTTGGAGAAGGATGCCTCCCCTGCCCTTTACACTGAGGGCCCCGGGAGCTGACTCACTATGGCTGGGGTTGGTGTGGCCCCAGCCAGACACCCAGCACTGGGAGCCCCTTGGAAAATGCTGTTCCTCAGCTGGCAGACACACGGCGCCCACGGTGTCTGTGGAGAGGCACACGGTCCTGGTCCCCACTCAGGCTTGGCTTCTCTCCTGAAGAGCCTGGGCAAAAATCCTCCTCATCTGCCTTGTCAACAGTCTTGGTGCCTGGCCTCCACCAGCCAGGCTTCCTAGACAACCATAGAGGTTCAGCACTGTCCCATCTTGGAGGTGACCCTTCAGGGTGGACCATGTGCAAACTGCACATGGTACCTGATGCCCTCCAGACATGGGCAGTGTGCTTGCTGCCAGCTTGACCTGGGGACTGAGGGGAGAATGGAAATTCCTCTGGCCCTGGGAATCCAACTTCTAACCAGGACCCATTTGACTTTTTCTACAATCCTTCTAAGGCACTACTTCAAAATGTGTGACACATCATGTGGGTGGAGCAAAACATGATTTTAGGTAATACAGGCATGCTGTTATATAAACACCGATTCACCTGGGGAAAAAGCTATTTCCTTCTCAATTCTCTTTCAGTCCCTCTAACAGAGTCAAGGAGAAAGACTCCATTTAGTGGTAGTCTGTATGTCTCAAAATGCTGTCAATCTCCCTTCTGAATAGAAAAGAGCAGCCTCAGACTCAGAGACTTCTACAGAGGACTCTAGAGACCTAGAACTTGAAACCCTGCTTTGTTTTCACACTAGAGGTTTTTGTGGTTACTACCTATTTACCAGAATAGTGCAGGTTCTCCAGTTAGATAGTTTTCCCTTTTAAACACTTATTTAAGTCAATTTAGAAATATTAACTGTTCAGCAATTGTTCACATATATGATTGGATTTGTGATTTTTGTTTGCTTGTTTCATTTTTCTTTCCTTGCAGTGCTGGAGATGGAACCCAGGGCTTTTGCACATTCTAGGCAAGCAACTCTACCACAGAGCTCCATAAGATTTGTCACCTTTTATTGGAGAAACCCAAGGCTGCAGGTGATAAAGGGAGAGAAGACTGCTAAATGCATGAGTGTGCAAGGGCTATTGTTAATGGCAATGGTACAGTCTCTGGTCAGAAGTTTTCCAAATTCTTTGTGTCCCACGTGAAAGAATCCCTGGCAGGACACATGAGTGTAATGGAGCTTAATTAACAAAAGGGGCATGGTGGAACCAGGTGGAAGCTGGAAGCAGAGACCCAGCCTTTTTCTTTTCCAGGTGCCTTTAAAATTTACACTAACCTACAGAAAGGGAAGAACCTGGTGATTCCCAACCAACAATAATCTATGGGTGGAGAGGGGCATAGGTGGTCCCTGGGCCAGGTAAGGGTGGTTTCAGTTGTCCCTGAGATGGGGTGTGAATAACCTACACACATTCGCAATTGAAAAGAAGGCTTAGAGAAAGAGAAGAATGTTCGACCTGAAATATAATATCAAGTCATATATATTCGGAGTGTTGCAAACTTTCCCTAATTCCAGCCTGCCTCGGCATGAGTGTGCACACAAGCGTGACAGTGTGTGAACATGCATGTGAATGCACATGTGTGTGCATGTGACTGTGTGTGTGTTTGGAGGACAGCACCCACATGCAGGTGCATGTCAGAAAGGAAGTTGCTGGCGCAGCTGCAGCCCAGGCTCACCCTTGCAGGGCAGACAGTGTGGTAGGAAAAGCCCTGGCCATCAGATTCAGGAACTGTTTGCCACAGGGCCTGCAAGAGAGTCACTTCCTTCCCTAAACTTCAGTGTCCTTGTCTGTATATACCTGCTTAATCTACCTGTTAGAGTTGTTATGAGGATTAAGAAAAAGGACATTTGGAAAAATAAGAAGAAATATCTCTTTACCTATGTCACAAAACACCTGGGACCTGCCTGGAAACAGAGGTGGAGCAGTCTGCTGGTGGATGAAGCAGCTCTGAAGCTCTGCGTGGGACCTCAAAGCAAATCCCAGCCACAGCCCTACTGCAAAAAGTGCCAGAATTTTGTCCCTTGAAAAGAACCTGGCAAGAATTCAGTTTCAGGAAAATGCAAACTCACCATGGTCTCCAAATGCACTGAAAGTTTTAAGGTTGATGGCACTAGGAGAAAACTTGAGAAACAAGGTAACCTCTCTTCCCATCAACCCCTGCTCCTCTGTCACCACAGGCCCCAGCCTACTTGTCCCAAGGCAATGGACTTACCTGAAAAGTTGAGTGGTGTCCGGAGCTGCAGGAGAGTGATGTCATAGTCATGGCTCTGGGCGCTGTAGAAGGGGTGGGAGATAATCTTCTCCACCATAGCTCCCTGGTATGGCCTGACAGCATTGTGACTGACCAACCCTGCATGGACCCGCCAGCTGGATAATCGTGACAGCCTGAAACTGCACACAAGGACCATGCTGAGCCCGGGGAAGAGGCAGAGGAAGTTGACATAAGTGAGATGATGGGTGGAGGAAGCTGGCTGGAGAGGTCATTTGTAGGGTCTGTGTCACGAGCCTGTGAACTCCTGGAGCCCAAGGATCATGTCTCTTAATATCACCTCAGCACCGGGCCCAACACTGGGAATTCAGTAAGTGCTTAAATAGATGCTCCAGGACTGATGGACAGAGAAATGAAACACCATGGGTCATTTGCAACTACCATTCTCTCTGTCCTGTATAAGATCCCTCCAAGTTTTATACCAAACATAGAAGGGACTGTTTGGAATCAAAACTCTAAACTGAGTCAGAAAAGCTTCCCTCACTCCTGTCTCTCCACTTACAATGTGACATCCTAAGGAAGGATCTCACCAGCCTCATTGCAAAATAGGGATTACACTCTACCCTGCCTGCCTCCAAAAGAAGAGATCAATCATTCATTCATCATTCATTCATTCCTCCAACTAATATTAATTAAGCATGCACCATATTCCAGGGACTGTTCTAGGGCCTGGTGACACAGAAATGGTTAAATCTACAAAGGTATTCATTGGTAAACAAGACTGAGAGTTCTTGTTCCTGAAGAACTTCCATCTAAAGAGGAAGAAAAACATTCAAGAAGTAATTACATGTAAAATGATTTAATTACAGTGGTGATAAACATTAAGAAGCACGGAGTGCTATGAATGCAAAACATTTTAAAAACTTAAAAACTGAATGAATATAAAGAACCTATCTTTGTGTTGTTATTGCTCTTCACACAGAGCTGAACTTGGTACTGAACAGGGAGAACAACACCCTTGCCCAGTTGGAACAGATACCTGGAAGCCAACAGTTGAACATGGATATTTTGTATAGGCCATACCAACAGCCAAACCGAAAAAGTGATTGAGCCCCTTCCCTCCCCAGGAGGCCCCCAGACTTGCCTGTGCATGCAGTGTGCAGCAGTCACCACCCAGCGGGGTGACAGCACAGAGCCTCCACACGTGTGCCGGGAGCCAAGGGTCACGCTGGCTTGCCATGGCCAGCGCCCAGGAGCCACAGCTTGCCCACCAACTATCCGGGAAGCCAGAGGCCTTGCTCCACACTCTGCCAACAGAAAGGGTCAGACAGAAAAAAGAGAGTGCCAAGCGCCAGAGAGCCAGCATGGACAACTCTTGTTTGTTACTGCTGGTCCTAAGTAAGGGAAACAGGAACATCAGTTTGATTTCCACAGGCTGCAGGATCTATGAGTCCTGATGTCCATCCCACAGTAAGAACCAAAGTGTCAGTAGATGGATGGATGTGTGGAAGAAGGACCAATGGATGGGTTAGAAAGATGGATGGGAACACAGGTGAAAGGAACCCCAAAGATTGTTTCCTGTTGGCCCCTAATTCACCACCCACCCTTGGTCTCCTGAAACTGCTATCAAGTTGCTTGGTAGCCAGTAATAATTCCATCTCTGGGATTCTCCAGAAAGACAGGGCTGTGACTGCCAGAGGCTGGCAGTGGTGAAGCAGGGAGATCACCAACCCTGCACAGTGAATGGTAGGGGACATGACAGAGGCTTCAAAAGGCTCTGATGGGCAGACTGCATCTGCAAGAAGTAGTCCAGAAGGCATATGGGCAGGCAGGTAAGGACCTCCACCCAGAACCAACTGAGTCTCCCCAAGGTGTCCTTCCACACTTGGGGCAGCGTGACACTCCTCTCTCCCACCACCGCCTTCCTGAGCCCAGCACATGACTCACCAGAGCACTTGAGAGAAACAATTCGGCCAGAAGTACAGTTGTCTCTGCAAAACAGAGGCACCAGCAAGAAGCCAGGCAGGGCCACCCTGAGGCTACTCACACCCAAGGGCATGGAAGGGGGCAAGGGGTGGGGCTGCTGGGAGTTGGTAGACAGCTCTTAAGGCTGTCATGTAGCCACAGCCCTCTCTTCCCTTTACCACCCTTCCCACCCCACTCAAATGTTTAGGCCCCTCCTCATAACCAGTGCCCAGGACAGCAGGGTACATCCCACCCAGCCCCGCAGTGGGCAACAGAAAGCCTTCATCATCCTGGAGATTAATCTGGACAAGGCCCAAGTTTACAAATAGAGGATTTATAGATGAGAAAGCCCAGATATTTCCACTAAATGACCCTGGATAAACAGTGGCTGAATGAATGGATACTGAGTGAATGAGTGAACAGAACCCTCTGCCCCATGTTCCTTTCCAGGCATACTCTGTTCTCTGCCCCAGGTCCTTTCTCTAAAGCCTCATTTATTGATATTCTTGCTCTCCTTTCTCCCTCCTCTTTTAGCATAAATCTCAATTCTGTTAACCAAAACACTCTTATCTTTCTCTTCTCATTTCTTTCCTTCAAAAGTCCAATGCCTAGATACTATTGGTTTCTAGTTTCCCAAACCCATAGCCTTCCTGGTCTCCTGAAGAAGTCAGTCCCACCACTATCTCCTCTTGTCCACTCAGGAATCTAAGACAGGGAACTTGTCAGGACCGCTCTTTCTTCAGTATGTTCCTGAAGAGGAACCCTCAGGAGGATGGAGCTGGGCAGGAGGGGCCTGAGAGGATGGTTCCCAGGAGGCTTCCGAGCAGCTTGAAGAAGCCCAGGAAGGGCAAAGATCTCTCAGTCACTCTGATCCACCCAGGGTGTAGGGAATGACCTGCTCCATTCGCCAGCCCTCTTCTCCTGGACACTATCAAGGCCCCAAGCAGCTCTTAGCCAAAACAACTGAACCACTTCTCTGCTGGGACACCATAATTATCTAAAATATGGTAGCACTGAGAGATCACTTACGTTGGAAAGAGGGGACTGTTTTCAAGATTTGACTTGGCTACTTATTGGTTAGTGATCTTGGACATGACTGCTTAACCACACTGAGGCTCAGTTTCTCTACCTGTAAATGAGTGTTATGGTTTAAATAGGAAATGTCCCTCATAGAGCACCTGCCTTGCAAATGTGAGGTCCTGAATTCAGACCCCAGTACTGCCAAAAAAAAAAAAAATGTCCTTAAAAGCTCATGAATTGAATGCCTGGTTCCCCACGCAGTGGTGCTATTTTGGGAGGTGGTGCTATTTAAGAGGTAGAGCCTAGCTGAATGAAGTAGGTCACTGGAAGTGTGTCTTTGGTGGCTGTGTCTTGTCCTGGGTCCCTTCCTGTATTACTCTCTCCACTTCCTGTCTGCCATGAGGTAAACTGCTTCTTCCTACACATGCTCCTGCCACTATAATATTCTGCCCAGTGGCATAGGGTCAAGCAACCATGGACTGAACTCTCTGAAACCATGAGCCAAAATAAATCTTTCTTCCTTTGCATTGCTTTTCTCAGGTGTTTTGGTCACAGCAACATAAAACTAGCTGATACAAAGGGGATAAAGAATGCTGCTCCAAATCCGTGACAATAACAACCAAGCCTGCATTTCTTGTGCGAATGACATGACAGCTGTGATGGGTAGGGCCCATGTGAACTAGGTTTGTAATTTCTGACTGGGAAATGTTCCTCTTTGTCCTACTCCTTACGTTGCCAATGTCCTCACCACCAGTCCTCCCTGAAAGATTTTTTCTGTACTTCCATCAGGAAGTAAGGACCCCTCTCACCTAAACTCCTTGTAAGCCCTACCCAGGAGCTCAGTGATAGAGCACTTGCCTAGCAGATATGAGGTCCCATGTTTGATCCTGAAAACACACACACACACACACACACACACACACACACACACACACACAAAAGAAGCCCTACCTGGGTTGCCACACCTCCTCCAGGAGGCCTCCAAGTCTAGGAGAGAGCTCAGCAAATTTTTGGGAGCTGTTGAACTTGATGTCAGACAGGCTTACTCCCTTGTGGTGAGTGAGTCTTTGCAGAGGACAAGAATAAAAGGAGGGAGTCAGCTTTATACTGCAGCATGAGGTGTGGGTTAATCATAACTGGAATGTGTGTGAGACACTTGGCTGGTGTAGTGACTGAGCAAGACCGTGACAATGACTTCTGAGATTTATGTTTGCTAAAACACATTGCTGCTCAAAGAGGAAGAACAGGCGGGGACACCATGGTGTTCAAAGGCTAGAAGATGGCTAGAATGCACTCTTGCTATTTACTGAGCACTTTGACAGTGACAGGCAGATAGAGATCTCCAACCTCCACTTCCCCAGTCCTCCACACCCCACTCCCAACAGTCCTCCACCTTCCCAGCCCCAGGTCTGGTTCCTGTTACCTGAGATGCCCAAGGCTCTGGCAGATCCGCACCCCCAGGGCAGGGTTCCAGCCCTCATGGCAGACCAGAAGCCAGCCTGGCCAGGCCCTCCCCTGTACTTCCAGCAAGAAGTTCTCACTGTTTATTCTGAAAGATACTGAAACCATAGCATAAAAACCACCTCCCACCTGCTCCAAGATGGGGGTAGGATAGGAAGAACTGGAGCTGGGGCTCTGTGGTACCCAAAGAGGCCTCAATGTCTCCCTGAGGCCTGTGTCACCCTGTATCAATCTCCCTATTGCTCTGGGTGTCTGTTCAGACCTAAAAAACTAAGAACCCCTAGCTGTGAAGATTTCAATTTTTCTTTAAATGGTTCTGCCTAATGACAATTACCATCCTCTCCTGAAGAGGAAAAACTAAAGCAGAGAGGTGAAGCTACTTGCCCAGGATCACAGAATTGGCAAGGGATAGATCTGATACCTAAATTCAGGTCTTCTGATTTCAAATTATGTGACAATAACAATTACATTTATTGGAGGGAGACAATACTGGGGTTTGAACTCAGGGCCTCGTGCTGCTAGGCAGATACTCTTACCACTTGAGCTACTCCACCAGCCCCTTTTGGCTGTGTTTTTCAGGCTGTTCTGGACTGACTTGTGCCCCCCGCCAAATTCCTACATTGAACCCCCAATCCCCAATGTGACTGTGGTTGGAGATAGAGCCTTAAAGAAGATAATTAAGATTAGATGAGGTAATGGTATGGGAAAGGGGGATATGACCCAATAGAACTGATGTTCTCATAGGAAGAGGAAGAAATGCTGGAGTGTGCTCTCTCTCCCTCCCTTTCTGTCTGTCTGTCTGTCTCTCTCTCTCTCTCTCTCTCTCTCTGTCTCTCTCTCTCCATATATATATATATATATATATATATATATATATATATATATCTCCTTCTCGGGGAGTACTGGGATTTGAACTTAGGACTTCATTTTTGCTAGGCAGGCACTCTACCACTTGAGTCACTCGCCAGCCCTCAGAGCTCTCTTTCTCTCTCCTAGTTAGCAGAAGAAAGCCCTGGGAGGACACATAAGGAAGGCAGCCATCTACAAACTCCAAAGAGAGTCTTCACCCTAAACCAAATTGCCAGCACCTTGTACCTGGACTTCCAGCCTCCACAACTGTAAGAAAATAAATGTTTGTGGATTAAGCTACCCAGTCTGCAGTACTTTTACTACGGCAACCAGAAAACTAACATACAGGCTCTGAACTAAACTCTTCAAATATTCACATGTCTTATCCCAAAAATATTTTTGGTTTCATTTTATAAAGAAAGAAATGGAAGCTCAAAGAAATAATGTACCCAAGATCAAACTGCTAGCAAAATAAAAATTCCAACTTGTTCCATAATTCATTCTAACCCCCAGATTCGGAGCACCACCATACCTTCTAATCCTCAGCACTTACCTGGAAGGGAAAGAATAGTGGGAGACGGGGGCAGAGAACCATGAGGAGTGATGTCCCCCAGATTCTGAGGAGGCCCTACTAGTTCTATACTGACCCCCAACACACACATACACAATCTAGCTCTTCTTCAAGATCGCTGGCTCACAAATGACAAGTTTCCATCTCTCCTGACAGTCTGGACTCCTGGACATAAGCCAGGTGGAGATCAGAACACTTCCCAGGAATGTCCAAAAGCCTCCAATCAGAAATCACTGCTTTGAGGCTAAACCTTGCCATCACCTTCATCCCAAAGGAGAGTGATAGATGGGTGACAGTGAAATGATGGCGGTTCATTTTGGCCCTAGAGTTATAAAGGGCCCTAGACTGGGTAAAAGGGGAGTTTCCCAGCATTGGAGGTGTTTCCCACCTGTTTTTGGAAGCAAGGGGAGCAAAGCTTCCTCACTGCTGGCACCCGAGCAGCTCAAAGTCATCTCCTCATCCTGCAAGCTCCCGGAAATGGCTGGAGAGGCAGCTGGCCACAAATACAGTACTTCAGAGAAGAATAAAGAGAGGGTCACAGAGAAGAGACTGGGGAAGGGGAGACAGTCACCCAAGGAGGGTCTCAAAGTACAAAACAAGACACTCCAGAGGCAGACTTGCCACCTGTAGACTCCTGTCAACCATTTTCCCTTTAGGAAGAACCCCAATTCACCTGTGACAAGTGACACAGAGCTGTCTTTATCTCACTGTCTTTCTTGTCTCTGTCTGTCTCCAGCTTTGTCTTTCTGTCTGTCTCAGACTCTGTCTTGGTCTCTTTGGAAAAAATTTCTGGAAAAAGTCTGACTAGGACCACCCTGGATCATCCATTCAAGTAACTTAAGACTACAGGACTAAAACATTCTCTGTGTGGAATCTAAACCTCTCTTACTGCATTTCACCCCTTTTCCCCTGGCTGTTCACACTGAATGAATGAGAAAAGTGTTCATCCTGTCTACCTACAATGCTTGCTCAGCACCTGCTTCTCTACCAACTTCCTCCAGATTCTGTTTTCCCTCCCTCTCCAGGCCATGGAAGAGTACCCCCAGCACTGACCTAGAAGCCATGAGCCAACACCTGCTCCTGCCAGCAACCCTAGGGCTCCCAGCACTGCACAACCACGTCGCAAGGAGCACCAGCGCCTGGCCTGAGAGACTGTGGAAGGTAGAGGGCTGTCTTGATTCCTTGCTCCGCCAGTGAGCCTTAATTACCCTGAGGCACCACTGAGCTCTGACGGGAGCCCTCCCCTGCCCCATGGACCCAAAATGGGAAACAGGGAACAAGAGGAAGTGGAAGATAGAGTGAGATGCCCTCTCACCATCGGCCTGTGGGGCTGCCCTATGGAGAATATAGGGGATGTAGGAAGATCACCCTTCATTACAAAGCCACTCTGTCACCGCCCTTGAGCCCAGTGTAACCTACTGAGTTGCAGCTGGTTTCCTGGATCTGCTCTGAGGATCCTGGGTCCTGGGCCCTCCTCTGAGCACTGAGCCTCCATGGGGTTCAGTCATTCAGCCCGGGGCTGTGGGGAAACAGTTGTCAGAGACACAGGATCCCCATATGAAGGAGTGTTGACAGAAATCCCAGCCCACACCAAATCCCCACTCTCTAATCTCAGCCTCCCCCTCCCCCTACTACTGCCTGTAAGCCTTATTTATCTTAGGATCTCTCTTGACCAAGATGACCCTCCACGCCTTCTCTGATCTCCCGAAGCCTCTAAACTCCCTCCTCCCCCATCCCATTCTCTCACTTTCACATGGTCATAAGCATCAGAGTGAAGATTTGAATCCAGACTTGGCCCAATCCAAAGACCACACTATTCACTAGCCACTCCCTCACCACCTCTCACAAGCATCAAGAGCATATTCTAAGATCCTTCAACATTCCATCCCAGGACTCAAGATTCCACCCTCCTCATTCCCTCCTATCGCAGAGGAAGAAGTGTTCCTCCCTCGTGCATCCATCCACCACTCATTCATTCAGCAAACATCACTTAGCCAGAATGCACAGACTACTATAGACAGTATGGAAGGAGTTCAGGATAAATTAACATGGACCACTCTACCACTTCAAAGAATTAGTGGTCTTGTCCCAAAGATAAGTCATATAAACAAAGTGGACTACATTAAGTGACCCAAGAAGAGTTCAACTAAACCACCATTGCCATTCAAAAAGAATAAGAGCTTACTTCTCACTGAGAAGATCAAGGAAAGCTTCTAGAAATGGCAGCCTCTGAGACAGACCCTCATGGATGGATGAATAGGGCTTGAGCTGATAGCTGTCTGAGTAGTCCATGAATAAGCAAAGACATGGGGGAAAGAAAACACAGAGCAGAATAAGTTCTATGTATATTTGCAGCTCTTGAGCCATGAAGAAGAGTAATGAAACATGTCATCTTGGAAAAGCACTGAATAGTTCAAAGCTACGTCTAATACCTCAGGCTATCTCTCCAACTTCTCACTTATAAAATAAACTGTCTCACTTATAAAATAAAAACTGATAACTCCCACTCCCTAATAAGTAATCTCCCTCCTCTAGTGTCTGATTTCCCTATATTATTCTCCATGCTGCAAAGCCACAGTAATCTCTCTAAAACACAAATATTTGCATTTAAGGATGGAGACCTCCATCTTTAAAGGGCTTACTGAATCTTTGAAGCCTCAGGACCAACCCAAATTTCTGGGGCATGTCTCACAGTAACCTGTGTGATCTCGCCCTTCTTCATGATCCTCACTGCCAACACCAGCTCCCTCCACAGTGCAACTCAAGGGCACGCTGACACATGTGCTGCTGCTCAACACCTTTAGGCACGATCACACCAGAGACTGAACCTGCCTCCCCTCGCCCTATAGCTGACTTCTACTAACTCTTCCAGACAGCAGGGACTCCTACAGCACCTACTATGGTCCTGACTGTTGCTCACTTCCTTCTCTTCCATCCTCACTGGTCTATGTACACCAGGGCCTGACGCAAAAGGAGAATCCAGGTAAAGTACATGGAAGAAAGGAAGGAAGGAAGGAAGGAAGGAAGGGAAACAGGGAGGGAGGGAGGGAGGGAGGAAGGAAGGAAGGAAAGGAGGGATGGGGGAGGAAAGAAAGACTAGATAATATGGCTGAAATGGCTTTACAAATTATAAAGCACTATGTAAATGTTAGCTATAATAATACATATATTACATATATGTATTACTTCTTACTTTTATGAACATAATATAATTATATATAATATATTAATAAAGAATACATATAAGCTATAGGTCTTTCCTCAGGGAACTTAGAATCCAATAGAGTAAATAAGACCCCTTAAAACTGGAGTGACTCAGGCTGGGGGTGGTGGGGCACACCTCTAATCCCAGCACTTGGGATGCTGAGGCAAGAGTGTGGTGAGTTCAAGGCCAACCTGGCCTATACAACAAGGCCTGGTCTCAAAAAAAAAAAAAATGTGGAGTAACTCACATCTCTCCCACAGATCACCTTTCCTTGTCAACACATAGGGTTGTTCCCAATGATCATAAAAGCCTGAAACACTGACTCCAAAACAATGTTGGCCAAGAAGTGATTTTCATGTGTTGCATGGAATGTCCTTTTCTTACTAAAACACTTCCCGGTCCTGCCTTTGTGCTCCATTGAGCTGGCTTTGCTGACCCTCTGGCAAGGATCAGGAATGCCTCTGTCAGACTTACCCAGGAAAGCACCCTCCAAATTGCCTGAAAATCATTTCACTGGACCCATGAGCACATACCAGTTCAGCTAACAAATGGAGTAGTAGCCTAATACCTTCTATGGAGCAAGGTACCAGCTCCACCTCTCCATCCCTATGCCAATCACAGCCAGGACCTGTAGGACGGCTTCACACTAGAAGCAGGCCTTGTTTTACCAGGAAAAGGGAGAGTCATAGTTTGCATCACATCCACTCCTTCTGTGCATAGAGATGAGACTCAAAGGCAGTGAGGTTGAAGGATAGCAGGCTGGGGAGAGACAGTCAAGAAAGTAGAGATGTATGTGTGTGGTTTCAGTCTTGTCTCTGGGGATAGGGTTTCTCTTGAGCTAATGTCCCTCTCAGAAGAGAAACAGGACCTAGTCTAGAAAGCATTCCAGGGCATGCACAAACTTTCCTTCTGTCTCAGTAGCTGAGGAGCTAGACTTTTAGGCCCAATCATCTGACAAACTTGCCTTACCTCAGGTACTGCCCCACTCAAAACCCACTGTCCAAGCTCATATGGTAGCCTGAAAACATGGCCTTTAGTAGTACAAGATTCTTGGTTTTCTTTTGGAGTAGGAGTTAATGCAACAATGATTTGCTCCTTACCTCCCATGTGCAAAGAACTTCACCAGTCCCAGGAGGGACAGGCAGGAGAATAATTGACAGTCCTTGGAGAAAAAACAGGGGTTGGCCACATAGAGCCACTGCTTGGATCTAGCCCCTGGACCAGAGCTGCCCAAGAAGGTTCTTTCTACCAGCCCAGAATCTCAAGAGTAGGGGTGAGAGAGAGAGAGATGCCACAGCAGGAATAGGGTAGCCTTACCATGTGGGTCGGTGGCACCGATGTAGGCTTCAGGGTCTGCTAGGCAAGGCACTGCTCCTATCCTTGTGTCAGCATTGATGAAATAGCCCAACCAGCTCGGTTAAAGGATGAAGTCTCCCTGGTTCACACATGACCCTTTGTTCCCCTACTTACACTCTCATACACAGACATAGGCCAGAGAAACAATGAACTCTGCTCAGGTCCCATGAATAGGCCCCTTGTTCAGGAAAGGGGGCCAAGGGCTGGGTTGGGCTGGACTAGGCCTCCCAGCCCCTCCCATCTGCTAACTGGAAGCTCAGAAACAGAGAAAAAGGTTATGGGGAGAAGGGAAGGCAAACTACTGTTGCTTAGCAACCAGGTCCCTTGTGCCAAAAAGTGTGCCTCATGCATGCAAGCACAATTCCCCTTCCTGCTAACAGGGCTGTTTTGGAGAAACTGATATTAGCATTTGTTGAAAGGTTTGAGCCCTCTGGATTACATCTTGCCTCTGTGGGGGTTAGCTTTTCCAGCAATCTGGGACTGTCACCATGCTGGAGTTGCTAGGGTGATGATGAGGGATCTTTGTTACCTCTCTCCTTAGGGCTGCACCTGTCACCTCATTGCGAGGAAGTGGGACCTCTCTGCCCTGGGAGCCAGTTGCTCCCGGAGATCTCAGTGTTATCTCGTTTCAAAGACAGGGTGACCCAGCTGAGCACAGTCTGGGCTGAACACACCTGGAAGCCATGTCTCTTTAGAAAAGGGGTCAGGACAGTCCCAAGAAAGAGAAAGGCTGGTGTGGCTTCCTTTCCTCCAGTCTGCTGCTCATAAAGTCCTCAAATGGGACAGTTAAGAATACAGACTTTACAGTCAGGCTTTCATCTCACTTCAGTTCTCCTACTTCCCTCAGTCAGCCTCACCTCAGATAATTGTGCCCACCTCACAGGATCAGTGTTAGAAAGAAATGAGGTATTGATTATAAAGCGCACTCTTACCCTGCTGTCTAGTATAGATTGGTATTACTACTACTGTTGAACCTCACTCGTTCTGGCTTTTTTTTTTTTACTTCTTTGCTCTCTATTTTCCTCACACACTTAGTTGTTCCTCTGAGCTTATGGTCAAAAGGCAGAGCTCTCCACACACAGCACAAGAAAGAGATAGAGTTCAGCTGTGAATCACAGACTTGCGAGGAGAGAACTGGTGGCTAAAGCTGAGAATCCTCTGGCTGGGCTCGGAGGTCTCCTAAGACAACACTCTTTCCCCTGCACACTCGACACCTACTGAGTGCCACCAGTAAGCCTGAACATGGGGATTGAGTAAGTCACAGACTTGGAGCCTGCAGGCTTGAGAGACAGAAACAGATGTAAATAACTGCTATTTGTGAAAAGTGAAATTACAGAAGGAGAAATTGCAGGTGCCAAGAAGACACAGAGAGGGCTTCATAAAGGAGATTTGAACTGAATTTTGAGAAATGAGAAGGCAATCACCAAAAAGGACATTTCCAATACATTCCAGGTGATGTCAGTGAAAACAACAAGTGAAAAGTAAAGACCTCTGAACATTCTCTTCTCATAAAAGCAGTGAGAAAACTAGAAAAAAAAAAGTCAGAATCAACTTTTTCAAAACTCTGGAAATTAACCAGACGTTTATTGCAATCTGGACAGTGTTTATTCACAAAAAGGCCACATAACCTCAGTAAGAACAGTGATCTTTGTGCATTTTAACTTGTTCTAATTCCATCCCCCTCCAACATCCCTGTGGGAAGGTATAATACCAGTAACTTCTAAAGCAGTTATAGAAGGATTACAGTTCTAGACCAGCCTGAACAAAAAATTAGCAAGACCCTGTGCCCCACCCAAAAAAAAAACTCAGGTGTGGTGAGTAGCTGCAATCCCAGCTACTCAGGAGGCGGAGGTAGGAAGACTGAAATCCAAGCCTGGCCCCATCAAAAGCTTGAGACCGTATATGAAAAACAAACTAAAGCAAAAGAGGCTACG